TATAGTCACAGGGAACCCACAATTCATGGTCTGATTCCCCAATCCAATTCCACTTCCACTTAGATGTTTTAATTTTAATCTAAGCACTTTCTCTCTTTGCCTTGTAACTAAATAAGTTAAAAGTTAAGTCTTACATGAGCTTGCATATGACATTGATGAACCTGAAATTTAAACAATAGGTAAAAAAGTTGAGTTCTGTAAAATGTGGAGGTTTAACTGTAACTAAAATTTTGTTTTGCCCTTTACTTAGAGAAAGCAATGAAATAAGTATCTTAATCAAATGACCGAGAATAGGAAAGTCACAAGAGAGCCCTGGTCAGATGCATGACCTCATTGACACTTGAGGTGTGAAAACTGTGAATTTCTTTGAAGGCCAAAAAATTGAAATTTATTTGTTGAGCGATACAGTCCAGTCTGTTTGGAGGTCTTCAGAAAAGTGGCTGCTAGTAATTGAATCAAGCAAACACCATCAGTTTCTTGTTTAAAGGTTTGCATGTACCAAAACAAAAACTCTGACATTTTTTGCCATTTCATAATCTATGTTAAATAAGCATTACATGGTTTCTTCACAGGTGGGGTGCACAGGATGGTATTTCTGGAAGGCATCCAATTTTGTTGACAAAAGGCTGTCATTACAGCCTAGGGACTTTTTACTCTGTTCATAAAGTGTACCAGAGAACAATGAAAATCGAACATCCCAAGAGGTAAACCACATGCTTTTCGGGGGTAAGCATTTTGTCCCAGGCATTGCAAAAATATTTGGGGGATGCTTGACTCAAAAACATCCTGTTGTCGCAAAAATATGCTTCCTTGATTGTCCTGGGACATTACCAGTTCCTGGATGCTTACCCTTTTCCTTGTTTTCTGCTTACAGAAAACTGTTCCCTAATCTTGGAACAGAAAATGACAGCAGTCAAATGTCTTAGCATGTCCTTGTGCCATATACAATAGGGACTTTTATTTTTTTTTCTCATTATTTTGGAAATCACTTTAAAAAAGTTAATAAGTCAATGGAAAAGTTGATGCATCAACTTACTTGAATCTGATGCTGGTGCTGTGGAAACAAAAGAAAATGCGAGTTAGCCTTTATGTCTCAAACATTTATCCCCTTAAAGTGACTAGCATCTAATTTCTCCTTTCAGTATCACACCTGGGTTAAACATGTAGGTCATGAGAATAAAGTAAATGATCACCAGCTTAGATTGCTCTTGATTGTTAAACAAATTCTCTTTGTCACCACCATAGGAAATGTTTAGAGGGCACTCAGGGCTGCAAATAACGGCCGGTCAACGGACAATGTCTGGTCAAAATTGGGTACTGACCGGACAAATCCTTCCATTGCCGGACATCTTGTCCGGTCCTTTACCGACTCGTTCAAAGAAATTTTAATTTTTAACTGTTTGATAATCACAAGGGACAACAGTAATGTTTCCGAAAGAAAAAAAAAACAATGTAAAAGTAGACAATTTCCATCGAGAATACTCCAAGTAGCATTTGTTGCAAAGTGCAAAAAGCGAGCAAAAGGCCCAAAACCTGGAGAATCCGACTACTCTTTTACTCTAACAAAAATTCACAATGGTAACTTAAAAAAAAAAGGGTTCTGAGTTGTACTGAAAACAAAAAAAGTCAAGATATATAAAAAGAGAGTTTGTTTGGTTGCTTTTGTAGTAAAGAGTATTAAAATTATGAACTTGTAATTTTTATTGCCAGACTGACTTGGATTCACCCAATCTGGGTTCGATCACTATCGCAAGAGTTCTGACTGTTAGAATTTGACCGGCCAAAAACGGGTAGTGTCCGAGCAAAAGCATGTTTGACCGGACAACATGACCGGTGACTGCCCATTAGTTATTTGAAGCCTAATGGCACTACAGATACATAGCCTAATGTAAGGAAGAAAGTTCTATCAGCTTTTAATTCGTTACACCCAAAGTCTAAATTTCAATTTCCTCCTATTTCTTCCTAGAACTTCTCATAATCTTAGCTCCCTAAAATGGGCACTATACCTAACAAATACCCCTACTTAATAGTTTTTTTTTCATCTGATCAGCATTCTGCTTAAATATATTCAAATCATGAGCAGGAATTTTTTTGGTACTTCCTGTGGGTGAAAGGAACCACCAAATATATTTGAACTTTTTTCCCCCTTCCCAATTTTTGGGATTTTTCCAAAATATCTCTCCCTTATCACTAATTGTTCTCATGTTGACTATGTGGTTTTAAAAGTGTGGATAGCTAAAAAAAGAGCTTTCTGATAACCCTTTAATCAAGTAAAATGCAACTTCTCGATATAATATCCAGACATTATCCAGCAAAAAGGTAAAAAGAACACTAAAGTGCGACTCTTGGTCTTAAGTAGAAAATGCTGACCATGTTAAGACTGACCCTATAACTCCCAATATCTGATGATTAATTCTCCCCACTAGCTGCTACACATTTCCTTGTATACTAGTTGTGAGAATTTGGTGTGAGATCAAGATACCAACTTCTACCTGATGAGTTTGAGTATTCTCGTTACCTGTTTGCTGGATAATGCATGTATATTTTAGGGAGAAGTAACACGTTAATCAGTTCTGGGAGTTTAAGGTTAAAATATCTTACTTGACATAGCATGGTGTAGAGTCATGATGTGGAAATGGGCTGAATATAGTGCGACTACAAAAAAATATATTAAAAACTATTAGTATAAATTATGTGATAGCATGATTCTGTGCAATAAGTTATTTATAAGCACAAGTAACCTTATCGAAGACAACAAAATTACGCGAGGCAGTGGGTCAAGTGCTTATTCAAACCAAATTGTATAAGAAATAATGTTGTCACTAATAGTAACTTGCATGAAAAAAGCATCACAGATCTGGACAGGTAAAATTTAGACAGTGTGTGTGCATTATTGGCAATTTGCACTTGTGTTAAATTAAAAATACACTCATGTTCAACTAATTCTATGCACATAATTTTTTCAATCAATCTCTAAGCCAACAGCTGAAATCAGAAACTTTGAATGCACGAGAAACAATAGTTTCAACTTGAGTGCAAAATTGAATTTCTTTGGGCAAGTCACTTGCTTAAAGTGCAGGACTTAGGGCCCAAGGTAAAGCCTCAGTTCAAGGTCTATGAAGAGGCTTTCTCTCTTATTCCCACCAGGTCAATTTCCCATCAAAAATAATTTTGCCTAAGACTGTCAACTGAAAGACTTTATTTAGGAAATAACTCAATTAGATTTGGATTGATTCAAAATAATTTTCTGACTGCATTACGGGCCATAATTATTCACTCATACACGTGCTGATTCAAATGCTCATAACTTTTGAAAAGTCAAAAACATGTAAGGATTTTTGCATGCTTTTGCCTATAAAAGTCTATTACCTAACAGGTTAAGTCCAACTTTCTTTACAAACTAGAAAGGTTTTTAACCAACCTGACAAAAATTTCGTGGCTTAACTATGCGAATCACATATTTTACATTTGACAGAGTCCCTGGTGAAATTATTTTGATGCGAAATTGACCAGGTGGAGATAAGAGATACAGCCTCTTAATTGTCCAAGCCAATTTTACTTGCATTCAGGGTTTTTTTTTTTTGCAGCCCTTTCTTTCTTTGATTCCTTTGGGGTTAAAAGAAAAAGAGGAGAGAAAAAAGTGAAACATCAAGTCTTACTTGTCTTCATGTCCATGACTAGAGATGCACCTGAAAATGAAACATTCCAACATGTAAACCATCTGCTTTTGATAAACATTTTCTCCCTCATAGCGCAAAAATGTTCGAGGGATACTTATCAAAAACCTCACAAAATAAGCTTGCTTAATTTTCCCTGGACATTACCAGTTCCTCCATGCTCACACTTTTCCTTGTTACAGAAAACTGTTCTCTTATCTTGGAATAGAAACTAACAACAGTCATATGTCCTAGCATGTTCTCAAGCCAAATGGAGGCTACTGTTTTTATAACTACCCATGTTTCAAATCACTTTTAAAAAGTTCATGTCTAAGGAAAAGTTAATGCTTAACTTACTTGCCATTGTCATTTGTGCTGTGGAAACAAAAAGGAAATGCAAATTAACCTTGAAGTCTCATTCATTGAACCTTAGATTGCTCAGTTATTAAGCAGGTTCTCTTTGTCAGCAGTATAGGAAATGTCTAAAGGGCACTACAGAGAATACTTATTCTCACTGCAAGGAAGAAAGTTCTATCAGCATTCAATTCTTCACACCCAAAGTCTAAACTTTAATTTTCTACTCCCTTTCTTAAAATTTCTCGTCATCTTGGCACCCTTAAATGGGCATTGTCTAAATACCCCTTACTTAATTAACAGTTTTTGTTTTTAACTGATTAGCATTCTGCTAAATATATTCAAATGATGTGCAGGAATTTCTTTGGGTACTTCATGTGGGTGAAAGGATCCACCAAATATATTTGAAAACTATTATTCCCCCTTCCCATTTCAGGAACTTTTCCAAAATTTCTCTCCCTTATCAATAATTGTTCTTATACGTATGATGCACGATCCTCGCAGTAGAGAGTGCTATTTCTGCAATAGCGAAGATCAGACCTGAAAAATTGTTCTTATGTTAACTATGAGGTTAAGTGTTGATTGAGGATTGAGAAAACAAAGTAGAAAGAGTGTTAGGATTATTAGCATTTGCATGGTCCTTAAATACAGGTGGAGGCCGATACAAACAGGTCTTTAGGACTTGGTAAAGGTGACCACCACCACCTAACAAAGGTGACTCTTAATAGGGGTGAACCCTTAATAAGGTGTATCTAAATACAGGTTCAACTGCAGTACAAAATGAAACTTACTTGATGCAGCTGCGGCTATAGATAAAGGGAAAAAAAAAAAGAAAAGAAAAAAGCATAAAAAAGAAAACACTGATGTTAGTAACCTAATTAAATACAGCTGTCACCTCATGCAATAGAGGCTGAACCTGGGCAGTAAGTAAAAGGGAACAGGACTAACTGTTCTCCCCTGGAAAATTGTGAAAAAAATTATAAGTAGCTGATACATGCACTCCTTTCGTTCCTTTTATTCAACAGCTTAAATCAGAAACATTAAATGCATGAGAAATAATCATTTCAGCTTGAGAGTGCAAGATTAAAATTGTTTCTGTGAGTGTCTTACTTAATGTGCAGGAGTGAGAGCTCTAGCTATAGTCACAGGGAACCCACAATTCATGGTCTGATTCCCCAATCCAATTCCACTTCCACTTAGATGTTTTAATTTTAATCTAAGCACTTTCTCTCTTTGCCTTGTAACTAAATAAGTTAAAAGTTAAGTCTTACATGAGCTTGCATATGACATTGATGAACCTGAAATTTAAACAATAGGTAAAAAAGTTGAGTTCTGTAAAATGTGGAGGTTTAACTGTAACTAAAATTCTGTTTTGCCCTT